TCATCTATCCACCTGGTTATGCCTTCATAAAGGGTTATCATGTTGGTCAAACATGATTTTCCCTTTGCTAAAACCGTGTTCACTGCTCCTAGTAACCCTCTTATCCTTGATATGCCTAGAGACAGTGCCAAGGATAAGTTGTTTCATCACTTTTCTAAGGATGGAGGTGGGGCTGACTCGCCTGTAGTTTCCTGGGTCCTCTTTGGCCTTTTGACGACTGCAATGACGTTTGCTTTCCTCTAGTCCTCAGGCACCTCTCCTGTTCCCCAGAACTTAACTCCTTAGTAATTTGAAGCTGGCTTGACATAAGAGGGCTTAGTGGGATCTTTAAAAGGTTTGATCCTTCATCATGGCTTGCTTTACTCCATTTTTGAGAGGATTCAACACTCTACTACATCAGATTGCAAAAAATCTAGGCTAAACTCTTCCCTGTTGTTTTCCTGTTGATGTGACATTGTTAAACTAGTAGGCATTTTTTTTCTTAATTTGTTAAATTCCTGGCAAGATCTTGGGGACTAGATTAACTATAGCTGCACAGAAATTACAGTTATTTAATGTTTTGGTAAGGCTAATCTGGATAGTCACTTGCTTTGTTTACACTAACAATGAAGAGAAGCTTATAGATGTTGACTTCAAAGGTATGAAATTTACGGAGGATGTCAAGAGCTTTATGTAGTATTCTATTTTAAGCTACTGAGACTTGCACTGAAACTTGATTTAAATCTACTCCAGAATGCAAACAATATCTGAAACATTGGTATCCTGCAGGCTGTTGGATGTTGAAAAGGAAATTAGTTTGAAGAAATTTGAATAGAACTGTTAGTAACAATGCAGAGTTCAATAGAAGTTAATTATTACTGAATGAAAATACCTTCTTTTGATGTGTCTTTGATCTGGTTTTACATTGCCATATGCAAAAAGTTAATGTATTACTGAAATGGTGGGTTTGAGGAGCTAGTATAGTCATTTTTCTGACTGCCTTTGCTGTGGAAGTCAGATCTGATATGTAAAAATACTTAAATTCAGAGACTTGTTTTGTACACAAAGTCCTTTAGGTCTTCACATGCTCATGGTATTGAACCATTGTAACTTTGGTAAAGGTTTTGTTGTATAGAATTGCCTCTGACTTACGTTTTACTGTAATTGTTTAACTCAAATGGCGAATTAGCAAGCTTGAGAGGCACTACTTAGTCTGGAAGCTTGGAATAGATGACTTAAAGATAATGAGATATATTGCCAAAACTTTTTGACAAATCAGTTGCTAGATGCTTCTGACAGTCCTTTAAAAGCCGAATACAATGATGTTAATAGCAGTATATGAGAATAATGTTTTGGTAGTGTTTCTTGAATAGAGTTTGAAACTTTGCTTACTTATTGTGTGCTGTTCAGATGCTTGTGCTATCAATGGCTTTTTCAAAACCTGGTGAAGGCTGGACAAATTATACATCAATTCAACTGCAATCCAATTAAATAAGACAGTTCAACAAAAAGTTCAGTTGGCAAATGTAGCTGATTGTCAGAAGCTGTTGAGAGTAGTCTTCTGCTAATATACTGTCACAGATCAGAAAGTTAGAAAACAGGACATTAGTATGAACAATTACAGGAAAGTGTCAGGAAACAGTTTTCAGAAAGGAAAGGATTTATTTTTTATAATATGATGATAAAACATACTATGTTAAACACATTGAAGATATAGATGAGCTATGGGTTCAGTAATTGAACACCAGTGGCTTAAATTAAAAAAAACGAGTTGAGTGTCAGAAGCCTGAGCTGTTCTCTTTAAATTTAATCAAGTTAATGCACCCACAGCATTTAGGTACCAATGTTTGATTGGTGTAGTGTTTCACACAATTCACACACAATATTCTCTTGTGAATTCTCTCTTCCTTTATTTCCTTGGAAGAAACATGGTTCAGTCCCATTATCTAATGAGCTATGGGTGTACCTCATGAGTAAGATATGCTGAAGTTAAAATAGTAAAACTTGGAAGCAAGAATGTTTTCTGTGCTTGCAGCGACCTCTATGGGCTGATTATTCTGATCCTTGATTAATGATTAATGTAACTTGTCTAATTTACTGGCACAGTGCAGTGTGGATTTAGGACTAGTCTAAAAAAACCCAGGATTTAGATTAGAGAGGCTTGGTTTCTAAAAGCATTTGCTGTATTGAAGTAGTTCGAGTACTGCTCTAGAAGGTCGTAAGAATACTACATTTCAGAGGTTGAATTTTATGCTCTGCCATATGCTCTCTTATGTGAGAATAAACCAAGAACTTGTTGTTACACTGCCATACTAACTCAGCACTCTAAGCAATAGATACCTCTAACATCTTGAAATATTTTTCCAAAGAATTAATTATATTTAGAAATAATTTCTCATTCATATTTAGGTTCTAGGTGTTGATACTGTGTTTGTCTTCTACACCACCTTCAGTAAAAATGCCGAGGTAGATTTCTTTGAACCCCGTGGATACTGTAAGGAGTGCACTAGCCAAGATAAGAGGCCACAAACTTAAGTTAGGGATGATTATGTTGGTTAGTGGTGGGAAGGCACTAATTGGATATGCAAAATGAGGCAAAGATTAAAACAAGCTGAAGATCACAGGATTTATGTGGTCCTGGGTATCTTTACTTACCCACTCAAAGGGGTGACTTTGTGCTAGCACAAGAAGTCTTGGTGTGGACTTGAACGTTTTGAGGGCTTGGTTAACTATTGTAGGATACCTTTCTTGTGGCATGCAAATACTAAGCAACATACCACTTGACAGTTTTTAGTTTTGTAATAGGCTTCTGAAATTTTCACAGTAGAATATATTTTTAAGTATTGAAGGATTTTGCTAAATAATGGTGTCCTAAAAAGTATGTAACTACTTAAATATGGACAACTGAAGATTTAAACTTGAAATTCTTGATCTGAAACTGGTCTCCTCCTTTCGTATCACTGGCTAATCAGTCCAATTGATTTTTGTCTAGGTTTCTTAATGTCTTCAAACTTGCTAGTTAGTATGTGACTAAGTCTATGACTAATTAGACTAATGCCTAAGACTTATTTGACTAACTAAGACTATGACTAACTAAGACTTATGTGTTAGTTTAAACCTTGATGTATGTTAAACTAGGTGGCTTAAAATCTCTTAAGGTCACCTGTACATCAGAGTAATGAAAGTATGACTGCTTTGATTTGGTGGCTACTCAAGTAAATGTTTGTTGCAATCTCCAGTTAGTTCTTCCTTTTTTAAAAAAGGGCTGTTAAGTGATGATACTGAATTGCTATGGTTTGTTCTATTCTGTGAATTGAGAACAGTAACAGAACCATGCCTTCCTTCTATAGTGTACTTACATGAATAGCAGAACATCCTCTGAAATGGAGTCCAATGATCAAAATAGCTTTAACTTTTTGTTATATTTTTGTATATACCTTTTCTATGAAAAGCTTCTGTTATTAGGTGGTATAGCTTGCTTTTATTCACTGTCCCATATGCTACCTGTTACCCAGTGTGGTAGTCCTGTATATCAGTCACCTGCATGCAGGTGATTGCTTTTAGTCTCTTTATTGTTGCTGGATTGAAAGCAGATCTGAAATCCTTAGTCTGAAAGGGTTAATTCTGTGAGTCCTTTGGAGTTCACAAAACAGTACTGGTTTGTATGCTGGCTAGTAAATTTTATTAACTTTTCAATGCTTGAAATTAGTAAGAGCTAGAATGGGAGAGAACTTGATGATTTTCCTGTGAATTACCGTGCAGTAAATCAAGTGCCAATGTAACTTTGTCTTTCACTTAAATTCTTTCTTCTAGCTTTGTACTCCATCATACTGTTCTGCGTCTTCCTGTGGATTCCCTTTGTCTATTTCTATTACGAGGAGAAGGAAGAAGATGATGGCAACACATGCTCAGTAAGTTCACTCTAGCAAATGCACAAAGCAGTGAGAAGACAAATGAATTCAGGCAAAAATGAAAGCAGGAGTGATTGTTGAACTTGAATACTACAGTGTTAATGTAATTTCTAAGTCTATTACTACAGTTCCTTTAAAATGCTGAGGCAGCTCTTAGTAACACTTAGTCTACTCTAAGCATTGTGGTATCACATGATATGAAACTTTAGTGAGATAAGTAATAATATCTGTATTGCCATGAGTTCTTTAAGCTTCCTACAAATTCCTTTGAGCCTGATTTCATGCACAGGAAGTTAAAACTTCTTATATAAAAGATTTTCCTTAGAATAGAAAACATGTATGAACAATTTTTAAAGTAGAAGACAGGAAGTTTATACTGATTCTGAGAAACACTAAATTTGAGTACCTTCCTTGTAGTATTTGCATTTTTTTTCTTCAAGTAGGCAGTAGTAATTTTTTGAAGCTAGCACTCAGTTATTTTTGAAATGCACTGAAGATTTTTAACATGCACAAGGTTCCAGGGAATACAACAGTGCATGCCAGTAAGATGCAAACTTCTCAAATGAGAATACTATTCTTAAATAATGTTTTAGTCGTTGATCATGATATTTTTCCTCCCTCTATTGAGTTGTAATCTAACATGAGGAAAAAAAAGACTTGTAATCATAGCTATGGTATAAAGCATTTATAATAAGCACTTTCTTTGAGTGTATTTGCATTGAACAAATGTACCCTGGTTTCTGTCCGCAGCTGCTCAAGTGCATAGTTTGGAAGTGTAATTCAGTGTCATAGTTCGTAGTTCTCGAGTTATAGGACTCTTCAAGAATGTGTATTTCTGACTTGTATCTAAAACTACTCATATTTCTGCAGAGGTTCTTTTGTAGAACGCCTGTTATATTAAGTATGCTTTGCTATAACTTGTAGGATGAATCCCTTTGGATTTATTTTATGTTAATTAACTTTCTCTTTAATGTACAGCAGGTTAAAACTGCACTCAAATATACTCTGGGATTCATCACAATTTGTGCAGTTCTTCTCTTAATTGGGTAAGTGTTTGTATTGAACATTAACAAGGGATATACTAAGTAGAACCCCAAACATAACTCCTTTGTGGAAGATGAAAAAGGTAGATTGTGGTGCATTCAATCTGTACAATGAGTATCTAGCTTAACGTCTAAGATGGCTTAAATATCCTGAGAATTAGGTACCAGTAATGTAAGAGTTTAACTGGAAGCTATACAGTTTTCTTGATTGTGGCGGTACTTGTGCTTCCAAGTTGTACCTGTTTGTGCAGTGTGAAAGTCCATCAAGAATATGATGGCTATGACACTTAGAACTGTATTGATATCTCAGTGTACAACAGTGAAATTTGTGCTCTTCCTGTATTCTGCCTCTGTCAAATGCTTTCATGGACATCCCAAATGAGCTTTTAGGAACATGAGTAGGTGTTACATGCTTTGTACTTTCCTAAATGGAGGTGTTCTGTGAAGGATGTAAGTATAGTGTGGGGTTATGTTTGACATAGCATTATGTGATACAGATTTTGCTGGCATTTTTGAAAGGCAGATGTTACTGAAGTGGGTAACTTGTTTGCAGCAAATGCTGTTATTCTGAAACTCCAAGCAGTATTACAAATTCAGTGTAAGATCACCATTAAGCATGACATGCACACTAATACTCTGTTTCTAATGTATGCTGTGTCATAAGCTTTTTAGCGTTTTGACTGCAGCAATGAAGTTGGTAAAATTTACAAAATGTATGCTAAAATGATCCATATCGAACTACTAGAGTGTGAAGTAGAAACTACAGTGAAATTAATGCTTCTAATTGTATACCACCTTATCAGAATACTGTTTTAGTTTTGATAACCACTTAAGGTACACTTCTAAGTCTATTGTCCTTTCAAGTAAAAGTAACATATTTGCTCTTATGAGAGACTGAAGGAGATTGATAACCACTTAAGGTACACTAAGTCTATTGTCCTTTCAAGTAAAAGAAACATATTTGCTCTTATGAGAGACTGAAGGAGTTTGTTAGCTTAATCATGAATGAGAAAAATTACTAAAGCTTCTGACAAAGTCTGGCTCTTCAGTGAAGACATAGGCATACATATTTCTACTGTACAAGAGATCCGGCTTAAATTTTTGCAGCGTCTCTAGTAGGTGTCAGTTGACTTCTTAGTAGCTGTAAGCATGTTTATTGTTCTCTTCCAGTAAGATGGAGCTTGGTCTTTGACTTCCTAATTGTCCTTGGTGTTCTTAGGCTTGTTCTTCAAAGTCTTCACAACTTGTAAATTACAGGGGCTTCCATGATCCCCTCTGATACAGTGCCACGTGAGAGTGAGATTAACTCGCAAACCAGAGAGCTGGCCTTGGGACTAAGTTACTGAACAGTGCTTCTCCATAGGTACAGACTTGAAACCTACTGGTCTAAACAGCAGGAGTATCTGCTGCAGGGAGACAGGACTCCTTTAGATGCTGAGATGGATTTTAGTAATTCTGGCTTCTAACTGGAACATTTTTTTTCTGCTATTATATGTATGAGGTTTCTTGCTTTCTTTTTACAGGATAATGATTAAATAGTAGCATCATCCTTAATGCCCTCAGAATGCACCCTTGCTACTTAAGATGCTGCTGCGGAAGAATCTAGTTCTTGTCTGTCCCCTTTAAGGGAAACTGCAAGACTGAACAGTTCAGTTTAGGAAGCAAATGAGGTGACTGTGCTGAAGAAATGTGAACTTTGGTTCTAGTATAGTTTGTTTGTATATATGTTTTTATAAAAGTACATAAAAATAGTGGGTGTCTCATTGTTTATGTACATGCTTGTTATGGAGCAGTTATCTGTCTTAGAGTTAGGCAACTGTCTGTACTGCAAGGTCAAAGAGCAGCTTCAGAAGTCCCAGTGTGACAGGAAGGAGATGAAAGTGTTGGAGCTGAAGCTTCTACATAAGGTGCTTGAATGTGGTGGGGAAGACCAGTCTTGCAGTACTGCCTGTGCTGGCAGTGGCAGGAGATTTTTCTCGCTGGTGATCAGGCTCAGACCAACATTAAAACAGACTGGAATTTTATGTTACTGAATTTAATTTTAGGGGGCTAGGCTTAATGGACTAGAATACTCATGTGCACAGGTTACAAGAGCAGGAGTATTTCCTCTTAGGTGCCTAGCAAATAGTCTGTTGTCGTCTTGTGCTTAAATGACTAGTGTCTCATATCAAGACAACACCTGTTCTGATTGATTTATCAAGTAATCTCTATAATTAAAACAGGTCAATAAATAGCTTGGTTGCTTTAAAAGTAGGTCTACACAAGAAGTCTCTACCTCTTTCCTAGTCAGCAGTCCTCAAAGAAACCGGAAGAGCTATATTAAGCTTGAAGTTTAAGAATGTCTTGTTCTTGCCTGGATGTTTACATTGCTCCATTAGAGAGCATTTTTGGAAACATCTGTTTTGTGCCAGATTATTTTGGAGGTTTTTTCTAAGTTGATAGCACAGCTCAATGAGAAGGATTCCATTGTCTAAATTGTTAGCAGTTGTCTCTTTACAAAGTCTCTTGCTGTGGCAAAAATATGCATGTCTGTAATATCATTTAAGCTCTGCACACACATAACTTGATGCAGAGTATCATTAAAAGCAAAGTGTAGGACAAATTTATACTGGGATACTTGGAACTAGTACTTACTTGCAATGCTTTTCCCTTCTTAGAAATTATCTACTTTTGTTGAATATAGTTTATTTACTCTAAATATCATGTACTGGAGCCAAGGGGCTTGAGATACTATCTACATTAAGGCACTCTTATACAGCAGTCTGGTTTGAACTAAATATTTGCTTTTGGGGCTAATGAATGTTTGGTTCTGAAAGGAGTATTTCCCTGACAGTCAGCATTTGAAATTCAATAAATTGGTTACCTTAAATTTTCTAGAACCATCAGCTTTTTAAAAGCTTTGAATATGTCTAATTAGTCTATAAATAATTATGAAAATTATATTGTAGCAGAAATCACTTTAAGGAGATTAGTGTAAATCTAGTGTTAGAAATTGTTTTCCTAAGGATGACAACTAATAGCACTCTTTGATTTTAAGATCAAACTTGACCCATCTATACCTGTGTTATTAGCACTGCCAAAAGTTAATAGTTTAAAACTGTTTGTCTTGCATTTACTTCTGTTGTTCTGCAGCCTAGATAGTGATCTAGATCTTAATCGTAATATTCCCAGGATGTATTTTAACCAGCAATTTGCTTCTATTCTTAAACTTACTGGAGTTAGTAAGTTCGTTTGTGTCCAGAACTCCAAGTGTAAGACATTACAGCTGAGCTGCTCTGTTTGCTTGCATTAACTGAATTCTCAGCTGCATCTGTAAAACCCTGCACTGACACTTGTGCTCTGTTCACATGCTGTCAATAGACTGACTTGTATGCATCACAGTGACAGGTGAATGGAGTTATTTAGCATAGAAACTTCTCATTCTGATTGCGTTGATCATTCAGTCAATATAACAAAATAGCCAAGACTTCTGTCAAATTTCTTCTTGCTTAGCATGCATGAAGAGTAGGCCTGAATTGCATTGTGCTGTGCTGGTGCAAGTGTGCTTTAGAGATCCTTTGAAAGTGTGGACTGAATGCAGGTCTGTAGATGGCTAGGCATGCTAACTCTGTCTTGTCCTTCTTGTGGCCTGTTAAGCTAGAGGCCAAAAGTCTAAGTGGGCTAGTTAGCTCTCTGGCTAGCTTGCTACCAGTTGAGGGATCCTGTTCAGGAGGGGAAATAAGATCCCTGCTTGCTTGGGACTAAAGTGTGTGAGTTTGTAGCTCCTGCATTCCTTTGAGGCCCTTGGTGCATGGAACTTGAGCAGGAGCAGAATCAGTTGTCTGTCTCTTTCAGTCAAGATTTAGCTGAATACCAATGGAAAAGTGTATGTAATGGTTACTGTGGCTTCTGCTCAGATTAGTGTCCTTTGACATGCTGGTTGTATGTAGTCTCATAAAAAAAACTATTGCTCGTGGGAGTGCGGAAGGCAAGCAAGTTCTAAATATCTGAAGATGTTCTTCCATCTCATTTGTTCTTTGCATGTGGTCCACAAATTGCAAGTTCATACTGATGCTAAAATAAAAGGACTTGAGCTCACTTCACTTCCCAGAGTCACATATTTTAACCTTTTTAGCAAATAAACCTGCAGTTGTTTTTATTGCTGTCTCTTGTAAATGGAAGTTTTGCTGAACTTTGTTTTAATACCTGTGTCTCCATTTTACCTGGATGCTATTTTACAAAAAGAATTACTGCTAGAGGCATATATAAGAACAAAATATGAAGTCAGCAATTATCCATCAACTGTAATCTACCTCTTGCACAGTCAAGAAGCTAAAAATCAAACACTTTTAAAAAGTGAGGATTTTGATTTTTAAAATTTAAACTTTGTTTGCTGAGTACCAGTTTAGTTTTGATGTGAAGATTTTCTGTGCACATAGTTTAGTACTAGCCTTTGAAACACATGATTGTGTTCTGTACTTAAACTTTAAGGTGTACTCCTGGAAGATGCATATTTGTTATTCATCTGTTTGTTGGGACTTGAAGCAGGGATCTGATTATGTGCACTCTCTTACAAAAGTCCAAAAGATACTTGTGAGCATTCTTTATGGACTTGGGTTTGGGTTCCTGCATTTTTTACCTAAAAAGCTTCCCTCCAAATTTGATTTCCTTGTGACTTATAGGCATTCTGTTTTATGTATGGAAGCTATGGTTTCAGATTGGTATGGAGGTACAGGTTTTCCAGCTGTTACAAAACTAGCTGTTTTGTCTATGGAGAAGCTGAAGAGTTATTACTGGACTTCAGATGGGGAGACTGGCAGCAGGAAGACTTTGGCTAGGGGACTGTTCTACCTGATATTTAACTCTTTCCTAGTCTGCTGATTGGAAGGTCAAAAATACTTAATGAATTTCTCTGTAGTCCAGGTCTCTGGGCCAACTGCAGAACAAGGACTGGAATGCAACAGATATGTTAGTTTAGTTGTAATAGTGGAAGATAAACATGTCCCTTTAAACTTTAATTAATGCTTGGTGTGGGAATCATTAATTGTTTTATTCTAACTTCTAGAAGTGTAGATTTGTAAGAGAATTTGTCTCAATTGATGCTTAATGTATTTTTGCTCCTTTGCGTACGAGTCAAACCAGGGTAGTAAATCAGATTAATACATCTTTTAATGATGCTTGAGTGTAGGGTCCTTACCTCTGTTAGGACTGGTAAATAGAAAATTGCTTGTTCATTAACCTCAGACCTGACTCTGCACACATTCACACATGTACTCTGCTGATCTAAATATAGCATTTGAGGGGAATGTGAATAATGACACACTGCCTTCAGAAATTTTTAAACCTAAAGTCATACAGTTTTTCTGCAGGAATAAATAGATTTCTGTTTTCTTATCTTAGAAGTAGAGTTCTTTCGGTATTTGACTAGTTAGGGTGAGACGACTTTTTTGCTTTGTTACAGTGCTTTTGTTCCTTTGGATATTCCCAACAAGAAGAATTCCACAGAGTGGGAGAAAGTGAAACTCCTATTTGAAGAATTTGGAAGTAGTCGTAAGTTTGAGATTTGTTCTGAGCTTTGTGTAACTTGCTACAAACTTACTTTGGCATACTCATCATTGACTGATCAAGAAAACTAGCTTTCTTGGTGACAGTCTTCTAACTTGACTCTTAACTGCTTACTGACACTAAATCTTTGCAATAAGATTTTTCTCTTCAGACAAAAAAAATCAGAACCACCTTTAAAGTACAGAGGAGACACCGCCCCTGTCTACTTTCAGTACTATCTGCATTTGACAGCAAGGATTCTAGTGTTGTGTCCTATGATATTAATGGTGGGGAGGGGAAGGTGCTTAGTTCCATGGAAATGTCACTTAACACAGCTTTTATATGTTACTTGGATACCCTAAAATCAGTGAACTTCAGTATGGTAAGTGTCTCGTGTTGTATGACAGTTTTGAAGTGCTTACTGAATTAAATACGATACTGCTGTTCACTTTAAGAATGAGACTGGTTCATAACTGGCTTTGTCTATTTAGACAGGAAAATTCTATGGGTGTTATGATCCCCCTGCTTTGTTCTCCTAGTGTTGACCTTCTCTAAAATTTTGCTTGCATTTGTTTTACTTTTTTATGCTAGGGCTATAAACAACAGTTGTGAAGGCCAAACGCTATGAAGTTGTATTTCACCTTTAGCTTATGCAGTTTATGTACTTGGCCAGGGTGTGTTTTTCAGAGCAAAGGTCTGAAGAAAGTGTTTTGTAGATGAGCTAAAACAGACTTGATGTCACTTTCCAAATGTATCCAGAAAAATGGTAACTAAAAGTTATCTAACAAATTAATCCAAATGCATAATTACTTTGTGCCTCATTCTTGACATGTATCAGAGTATTGGCTTCTATATCCCTTCATGATCCATCAACTTTGTATGTCCAGTTTGCCTAAGTGTTCCCTTCTACCAAGGGTATGTCTTCCTTCCAGCCTTCCCCTGGTATCTTGGGCCTGGGTTTCCTGAAGTCTGGTCTTGCTAGTAAAGACTGAGGCAATAAAGGCACTTGGTACCTCAGACTTTTCAGTGTCCTGTATCACTGGGGTCCCTGCCCCACTCAGGAGCAGGCCCACATTTTGCCTAGTCTTCTCTTGCCACTTATTGCCTTTGACATGCTTGCAGAGTCTTTCATCATAGTATGCACTGTGCTGTAAGGTGTGCTTACAAGCATGGGAGATAATGGAGAACAAGTCCATAGCTTATTAATTTTGTCTGCTTGTTTGTGTTTCTCTTGCTTCATGAAGATTCTAACTGACAGTGTAGAATAAAATTTCTTTAACTGTTTATACAGGTAGTGACAGCAGTTGAGCTGCAATGTCAGCTACTTTTTCTAGGCTACTTGGATACGGCTGTCAATTATTTAGCTCTGTAGATGTACTTGCTATGAAGTATAGTATAGATAATGTTTATTTCTAGGAAGACTTAATCATTAAGATGCTGGGTTGAGATGTGGAAGTCTGGTTTTGATTTCTGGCACTTACCAGTATTCTCTTGTGATTTTTAATTTCATAGGATAGTTCAGACTGAAGAGACCTCAGGTCATCTAGTCCAATCTCCAGCACAAAGAAGGAAGCTGTAAGGTCAAACTGGGTTGCTCAGGGCTTTATCAGCTAGCACTTGAAAAAACCCGAAGGATGGAAACGCTTTCATCTCATGGTGAAAAAAAAAAATTCTCCTCTTACCCAGTGTGGGTGTATACACTGTCACCCATTGTCTCATTCAGCTACTGTGCACCATTGGGGAGCCTGGGCTCTGTCTCTTTGATAAGCAGACAGGCTATATTAGGTCTCTCCAAAGCTGTCTCTGTTCCAGGCTGAACAAGCCTGGCTCCCTCAGCTTCTCTGCACAGCATGTGCTTTAACCTCTGACCAACTTAGGTCTCCCCTTAATCTGCTTAGATTTATTAGTCTTCTGTGTGATGGGGGCCTCAAAACTGATTGTGGTATTCTCTGTATGGTCCCTTCCCTTAAGATGGGCATGCTCATGTTGATACAGCCCAGGATGCTGTTGGACTTCCATGCTGCCAGGGCACACTTCTGGCTTATTTTCAGCTTGCTGTCTGCCAAGACCCCCCCCAAAGTTTTTGTAGAGCTACTCCACAGCCAGGAAGTCCCCAGTCAGTATTGTTGCAAAAAGTTCTCTTGTGTTCCAGATGCTGGAGAAATGAGGACAAAATTCTTGCTTGTTGTCTTTATGTGTATGTGTTAGCCCGTTTTCATGTTACCTTTTCCATTGTCTTTCTGCAGTTTACCCAAGAAATGCAAACATCATAACTTTGGGTGTTTGTTCCATGTCCATTCAGTTTCTAGTGGGATTATAAAAGGAGTACAAAGTCATCCACTGAGGCAGATCCCGATAATGTACTTCTGGTATACAATTACCAATTTTTCAGCCAGTTAGTTTCTTGATGTTCCATTGAACATAGTTCAAACTTTAAAAATGGATGTTAAATGTTGTTTTCAAATATATGTACAGGAGGATCACCAAATATGGTGTTTAAGTACATTGTGTGATACATCAGAAATAGGAGTCGCGTACGTGTGGGTTTTTTCCCCTAAACTTCAGAATGTAGGTAAAATTTTCACGAGTACTAAAGGTGGAATAATGCTGGGGTGGTTTTTACTTTTAAACATAGCTGTAGTGTTTGAAACTTATGAACATGTTGCTGTTAGCTTTGAGGAAGTTGTTTGGTATTATCTAGCAAAAATAGCAAAGGAAAGATTTGAGCTGTGAAGTTGGATTTGGTTGTGCTACTCTATTAGATGTTGGTATTTTTGGAATTGTGTTAGAAGAAAGATACAGCTTCTCATAGAGGATAATTCTATTAGGTGTTGGTATTTTTGGAATTGTGTTAGTCAGAAGAAAGATACAGCTTCTCATAGAGGATAACTATAACAGGATTTCTCAGTTTGTGAATGCTTGATGCTATGGTGAGGAAAAAGGAATGGAAACTAGCTAATGAATTGGACTGGCTAATAATTCTTTGAGTAAAAATCAAAGTTATTGTGCTCTAAAGTCTTGAATTGACTAGAGGGGAGGAGAAGACATGAGGGAGAACACTAAATAGTAGGACAATTACTATGACTGGGTGCAGACATGAAATTGATTGCTTAAAGTTAATTTGTATAATGGCTACTATAAGTTTCCGTGCTACTACTTAACAAAAAAGCTTGCCATATTTTGTCCTGCATGGTGAGGTTGGGGACAGGGATGTTGTGGAAAATAATGCAGGAGGATTCAAGGAGTTTGCCTTTGGGGGTGAGTTTGGTAATGCTTTTCTTCTACTGTTTTTGTTTCTAGGGTGATAGTAAGGCTTCAATAACTCCTTAGTCTCCTGACCTTTTTCCAGTTTGTACATCTGCATGTATGTGGTCTGAGTGAAGCTGAGGTGCAGTTTGTCTTGCTTGGTTATATGAAAGATCCATGCTTGCCTGATTGTTTGGTTAGTGCTTTATTATAAGAAATCGGGTGATAACAAACAAAACAAAGATGAACCATACAGAATATGTGTGTAAACTGAAAATTACCACAGCACCCTATGGAAGCCAGACATAAGTCTGGAAGCGGTGTTAGGCAGCTAATAGGTGGGAGCAAGTTCATCAGTGGCTAGTCAACCATTTGACTGAATGCAACACCTGTGAACTTGTAACAAAGGCAAGATGGCTGTCCTGCTATTTTGATGTGGGATGAGGATCTACTGCTGACAAAATGCTATACTAGGTGAATTTTTTGTCTGAATTGTTACAGTGGGTGACTGTGTCCTTTTATTTTTCTTCAATCTAATGAACTTTAATATCTTCAGGAAACCAATTTGGGAAGAAATGTTCTAACATATCTATGGTAGGAATTTTCAACAGGCTTTTTTTTCTTTTTGCAGATGGCTTGGCTGCTCTTTCATTTTCTATTAGTTCCTTGACTGTGATTGGAATGTTGGCAGCTATCACTTACACAGTAAGTTGTTAAGCAAATGTTTTAGCTCTTTACATTCATGACACTTGCAGTTGTCATGGACTGTACCTGTATGGAAAATTGTCATCTTGCTAAATAGCTTCAGCAGTCTTCTAGCTCTGGATTTTCATGGTTGAAACACTTCTTTGAAGTTCTTGGCATGAGATGAGTAACTTCTTTACTGCAAGTTTAAGAACCACTGTTTCAGTACTCCTGGTTTTTAAGCCTCTGTTTCTTTCCCTGTCCAGCAGTGGAGAAGTAAATATTGCTTTTTTGTTCATTGGACTATGGCATAAGCTAGACTTGGTCTGGTCAGTCTATGATATTGAATATAACCTTTACTAAAACTTTTCTGCATTGATGTTTTTATCTCTACAGAACTTTACAATGAAAAGTCTGGCAGAATAACTTGATTTGTAAGGAAGTATGTGAATTATTCTTGGTCAGAACTGTCTTTTTTTTTTAAAGGCTGTTCAGTAAATGAAAAAGCAATGTCTCTAACAACACTGCTTCACAGTATTTTAGAATTTGACGAAGGTTAAATATCTGTGCATGTCAGCATTTGGTTTCAGGTATGAAGAATCTGCAGCGTCTTCTGCGATGTGTGCCTTAAATCAAGCATAGCTAAAAAGTTAAAAGCAAATAGTTTTAAGTTGTTTAGAGGCTTGCTTTCTAAAGCCTCAGGAATATTCTTGGTAGTCCTAGGCATGCAACTAAGGTACTGCAGTTCTTCCTGTAGCTTATAAGCGTTTGGGAGTGTTCATTCTGTAACTGATTGTAAGTTATATGGTTAAGGCTATGTTAGTTCAGCTACTTGACTCTTGCTTTTATGTGCTAAGGAAAGGAACTATTTTAACTTATTAGCTTGGCCAACATCTGATGTTGATATGGTCCTTGCCTTTCCAGTCTGTTCTGTTTTTTCAGTCACTGAATAATCAGTCCATTTGTAATGCAATGTGTATTAACTTGTCATCAACGTAAAATTTTCCGACAAAGATGAAGCTTTAAAGCTTAAGGTAACTGCAGTCAAAGCTTTAAAACTTCTCAGAAGTCAGTGTTTTCCTGGTAGGTTTTAATCTTTAAGTTCATGTCCTTGCTAAAAGAACTCTTTTCCATTGCAGCCTGGCTCTAACATACCAAATTTGTGGTCACATAGCTTTGCTAGTGAATTCTAAGTGGCTATGTAACAATATTGCATGAGATGCAATAAGTTATTTTGAAGCATTGCAAGCTAAGGAGATACTTTGTGGTAGCTTGTTGTCAGGCAAAGGATGAATGGATAAAATTATCATAGAACAAGGCTATAAGAAAGAGGGAAGTGTTTTAGTCATAACTGGATAAGGGGAAAAGTACATGCTAAATACTACCTTTAGACTCTTAAACAAATCTAAATTGACTAACAAGCATAGCTAATGATTTTCTGTCTCTTTATGCCAGTGACTTCAGCTGGTGTAAGTTACAGCAGGATTATGGGAGGCAAGTCAGTGCAGGTTCTTAGATATGTCAGAGCACTGACAGTGACAGCTTGGTGATCATTGAGTTTTGTGCAGTAGGTAGGAGAAGAATTCGGTGGATCAGCTAGTAGGTATCTTGGGTGAGCTGAACTGCTCTTAGCCCCGTTGACGAAGTGCCTTAACTTTCCTGACGTCTAGATCAGGTACTGGTCAAAAAAGATCCAGACTTTTGCTTAGCCTCTAATAACATGTCAGCTTTTAAATTTGTTTCCGTTAATTATGGAAGGGAAGATTAATCTCTTGTTCAATTACCTTACTGCAGAGCACAGGTAGTGTTTTTTAACCTCTATGAGACTAACATTAAGAACAAACTAATTACGTGGGAGAATATCCTCAGGGGTTTTAGTTCTTTTTTTTTCCAAACAGCTACCCAAGTATGTTTTTTATAAGTGCTAGTAAATGTCTATAAGCATCTAAAGGACAAGATTGTTTTATTTTGCACAAATTTATTACTGAAATGTAAAAAAACATTTTTAAAAAGTAGCATTTGTGAGTTTAATTTATTGCTAATATTCCTTACTTCAATGTTATTTCCCTACTTATTTTTGAGTGTAGATTGATTGTAGGCACCATTCAGCTGAGTATCACAATATGCTGCTGTCCTCAAAACTAGCTGAACCTGTAAATGTGACTTCCACTTAATGTTCAGTAATTTGTGTGCTGTGTTGCCTGTGTGGTTTCTCTGTCTTCATCTTGTTGCCTTAGTCTTACTGTATTTAGGATTTGTACAAATACTGAGTGGTAAATGAGGTGAAACATCAAGCATGAGAGCTAAAATGGTCTTTTCTGAATGCCTTAATTACTAAGGTTTTAGGCTAATTTGTTGCTTTGAAAAATTCTATGGAGCTGTCCATGCAAATGCCTGGAGCATGGAATTACTGTTTACTTAGTTTAATCATGTGTCTGATCCTTCTGGAAACTGTCCCTTCTGTTTTTCAGTAGGTGTTAAGACAAGGTGGGAGAAACAGAGGAGCCATTTCAAGGAAGTTTTAGGTATGAGCTCACAGGAGGTGGTTGTTGTCCATCTCTGATATGAGAGTGTGTTTTGTCATTGTTTGCAGGTGATCAGAGAATCTTATGCTGAAACAGTGAGCTGGCTATGATACACGGATGGACTGAGGTACAAATGTGTCAGACAGTGAGAAACACTTATTAGAACTGTGTTCTCAAAGTTGGAGCAGGAATAGATTTTTTTATGCTCTAGTGCTTTCATGACACTTTGCCCACTGCTGGTAATGGTCACTTACATATGTAAGCAATTTCTACCCATGACAGCATGAGCAGTGCTGCTCTTGTGGTCTGAAAGGTCAGTTGTGAGTGTGACCTTCACAGCATGTGGATGCCATGTGCCTGCATTCCAGCCTGTATTGTGGGCTGGGCTTTTCCCAGTGGTATGACTTCATGCAAAAGTTAACTTAGTAGTGAAAAGTTCCTGGTCTGTCACACTTCCCTAAGCCTCAAGGAGAGGTTAGCCCAGAGTATAGCCTCTCAGTCTTGTCCAATTTGAATTACTCCGCTCCCTCCACTTGGGAGGTAGAGGACCATGATTCTGGGAGAGTAACTGGTTTTCTCTTTTGTGGTGTGGATTTTTTTGCTGTGTTAATCTTGTATTAAAATTGCTTCTAGATAAGACAAAGGCATTAGTGCACAGGAAAGTCTGCAAGACATTGTCTGTAACACTTGCTTTTGACCTTAGACATCTGTCGAGAAAGTAGTTATGCTCCTGCATTTTTTCAGCCAGCCTTCTGCATGCCTATAAAATTGTTTGTCCCAGTTTCTAAAGGTGGGAGGCCTTTGTACTTAGTCATCAAACCACTGTTTGATAATTGCTGGTAGATTTTTTTTAAGCACAAAAAAAGAATACCTTTATATAAGGGTGAACACAAGAACAAAGATACCTACTTCAAAATTTTCCACATGCTTAGCAGGTGATGGAAAAAAGGGTAGAGAATAAATGAGGACAAAATGTGGGGTATCAGAGTTCCCTTGTCTCTGAACAGAGGTGATCTCAGATCTTTGGTTTATACTAGTTAAGATTTGAGGATTTGTAGTGCAGGCTTAACTGAATTTTTTTATGTTCCCCTGACTTCTGAGTATGACCAGTCTGTTACATTGCCAGTGTTGCAATTGTGTTGTTAAAAGGAAGCTGGGAATCGGTGAATCTGGTCTTTTGTATACCTATATTCACATTTTTCACTCTAAAGAAAAAAATCTAATAAAAATTTTAATGTAATAAGTGATATGTTAGTAAATACTTTCATACGTAGTTAAGAATGGGTTTACATTGAATGATTACTACTTTAACACAAAATACTAAAAGTAAATAGGAATGCTATGCCTGCACTGACTGCAGTTGACTGATTTCATCTTAAAAGACTATTTGTGGAAGTCCTTCCTATAGGAGGGATAAATCAAGTGATTCTATTTAAGTCACTTGGAATACAATTTATTCATTCTACAATTAGCTAAGTGTGTTAGCAGTACTGCTTTGTGTGGCTGTCAGTGTGGAGAATTAGATTATGGCTGTTCTAAAACTGCACTTCTGCATTGTGGTAATATACAATACTGTGAGAAGTTGAGGAAAAGAGGCTTTGGCACTGGCAGCCTTGAATTTGAGTAGATATTGAGAGCAATAGCTCATTTCTGCATGTGTATGCTCCTAGGCTTTCTCTGTGAAAGCGTATTCTGTTTCCATAGGAGGAGGGATGCATGGGGGTGGTGTTCTTTAGATTGTAAATGGCTGCAGTTTAAATTATGGAACTAACAAATTTACCCCAATGACTAATCTAGTTAAAATCTCTTTTTGAGGAGTACCGTCAGTGTTGTTCCAGTGTTCTGGGTGTCTCTTAAGGCCCAGATTGGTTTAATATATTACTCTGAAGTATATGGTGAGCTATTCATGGAACAAATAACAGACATCTTATCAGACCACACAATATTGTAACATTTGGTATGTTTGGTTCTTTAGGGGAGGAGGGGGTGGATGGGGGACAACATGAGCTGAAACATCGTGCTGGACCAGAGTTGCTAACAGCTGAGGACTTGTGTTACTGAGTATGACAAAGGTAGACAACATTACAGTTCAGTGTGGTTGTCATTATATTAGCTTGCTGGTTTTCATTTTCTATGGGTTCAAACATCAAAATCAGGTCACTAAATTTGACCTAGTGATACATACAGAGAAGAGCTTTTTCTCATAGTTTGAGGGAAACAGCAGAATTTTGCTATTGAGTTGTGAGCTTCTCCCCAGCTTCTGAACAGAGTAGCATGAGTAGACTGTTAGGGCTGAAGATGCTAAAGAAATAAAACTTAACTTGGTATGAAAAATTCCCGAGTTCCTCAATTTCTGTGAAATACTAGTTATGAGCTTGGGGAGGGATCAGTAATACATGTTGAATGTGAAAGCCTCTCATCCTTGAAGGTACATCACTGGGAGGGTACCAATGTAGAAATTACTAGTTTAAGGAGTTAATGTAAAAGTTGCTTCTC